TTTCCTCCCCTGAATGGAGAAACGACCATCTTGATTGTATGTAGCAAAAATGGCGGCCTCTCCACAAGGCCGCGCGTCACAGCACAAGGGGCGAAGGCTTCCTTTTTTCATGCCAAGTTTGGGAAGAATGATATAACGTGGAGCCTGATGACGATTATATCAGCACGTTTACTTAAAGGGGACATTTTTGTGCCACAGAAGATTCTTTTTATTCTCATTATTCGTGGGCAGAGAGGATTTAGTTCATTAAGGTCATTTACAAGTGCAGCTTGAAAGGAAAGATAACCGTGAGTTTCTGTCGTTCACAGAGACAATGGCCCTGAAGGCATGGAGCCAGATGGGATCATTGAGGTAAGTCTCCTATGAAACTCCCACCAACACTGTGACGTTCTTCACAGCCATAGATACAGCATGTAACGAACTGACTCTAAACCTGTGCTCTTTCTAACCTTTCCAGAGCAATTGGAACCAGATTGTGGATAGCTTTGATGAGATGAATCTACGCGAGACCCTGCTCAGGGGAATTTATGCCTATGGTTTTGAGAAACCTTCAGCTATCCAGCAAAGGGCCATTATGCCTTGTATCAAGGGTAAGCGTGCTTCAATGTGTAATAATGTGTTTCTAACACTACTTAGCAGTTAACAACTCCAAGAATTCCCTGGATACTAAATAGCACATGTTTTAATTTCAGGTTACGATGTGATTGCTCAGGCCCAATCTGGCACCGGGAAGACTGCCACCTTTGCCATTTCCATCCTTCAGCAGATTGATGTGGAGCTGAAAGGCACTCAGGCTCTGGTCTTGGCTCCCACCAGGGAGCTGGCTCAGCAGGTAGGCTTCCACACTCACCCTCTTACACTAGTGACATATTGTGCTATTGTTTCTTAAGAATCTCTCATGTAGCCTTTTGCACGGCTTAATGTCTGGTCTTTGACTTTCTTTTCAGATTCAGAAAGTGGTCCTTGCCCTGGGTGATTACATGGGAGCCAGCTGCTATGCCTGCATTGGAGGGACCAACATCCGCAGTGAGGTCCAGAAACTGCAGGCTGAAGCCCCACACATCGTGGTGGGAACTCCCGGGCGCGTCTTTGACATGCTAACTCGCAAAAACCTTTGTAAGTCTTCCTGAGAAGGAGTTAAATCAGGCTTTGTTTGAAATTTGTGACCACAAAGAAAGAAATGAACACGAGTCTCTCTGGTGACTTTGATCACCTCAGAGGTCAGTTATTGCTCTCACTCCACATTGTAGTCTTCCTTCCCGTCTATTCCTGCTTGCGTATGAGAAGGGCTGTATAATGATGAAACCCATGCGTGTCAGCTGACACTGTAAGCCCCTGCTGTGGTGTTGCTTTGGTCGGCGTTCTGCTGGCTCGAGCGTTCATGACAACAGAGGTCCAGAGGCATGATCATACATTCATTACTTCTGAATACGGCACCTTTACA